TCAGCAGGACTTAGCCAAGGATTTAGAGCAAAAAGCATCACGGGGTACACAGAGTGTTCTGTGTATTAGTATTATCTCTGGGCACACAGGACAGTACTTGTTACCAATACCTGAATGAATCATCTAATGGCTGTGAATGTAGGACACTCGAGACCTAGCTGGGCTCGAAACGCTGCTGAGGATTCAGCTTATCTCTCACAAGCACAGAGCTTCTAAAACTTCATATTTCTAGAATATCTCTAAACAATGGAAAATACAAGCTGGAAAAAGCTGAAGAGCTGAAATTGCAACTGAAGAGCTTCAGATGCAATGGAAGAATTTGATTTAGCTTAGGATGCTAAGTTTTATTTGAAAGCTGCTTCAGTCTCAGGCTTGACTTCATAACAGAATGCACTGTTATGGGCTAGAGTGTGTGCAGGCTTCTGCTCCTGGCAGTACAGGTCTCAAGGATGTGCTAGTATGACACCAGTGTGGGTGGGATGAAAATACTGAAGCTGCATCTGAGCCTCACAGTTTCATAAACCTTCAGTAATCCCTGAAGGAAGAAGGATGTGACACTGCACACAGATCTGGAAACTCCCTAAAAGGCCTTCCTCTTTCCAGTAATTTTTCCATGGGCTGCAGCTCTGTGTTATCAATTCATACCAAACAGCTTTTTTCTTCACATGGGAGGGAGAAGTCAGGCAATGTTTACAGCCCCCTCACCTAGTGGTGCCTCTCCCTAGCAACAAGCTGCAAGGATTTAGGACCCAGAACGACCTACAGAAATTTCAGAGCTTTTCTTAGAAAGTAAATGCTCTTACTCTTTCTTAATTCTCTGTCTTCAAAGCCAAAGTGTGAGGAGGCTCATGATCTCCCTGCTTTCCTCCTGCAAACTTTTGTCCCCAGTAGAGCTATGCTGCTGGAGCAACTAAACTACAGATGCCAGTACAGCAGGCCCAGAAAGGAGCACAGGACTCTACCATCACAGCACTCTGCCATCACGCAACCCACTCTTCTTCACTACAACTACAAGCAGAATAACTAAAAATGGAATACTGTGTCTTTTAGGCTTCTGATCCCCAAAAATGACATGAAGGTCCTGTAGGTCTCGTCTGTGTGTTTTACTTCACCAAATTGCCCGGCACTTCCCCTTAAAATTTAATTTGCCAAACATGGTGAACACAAACTGGATCAATTTGTTTGGCATCTATGGCTGCAGCAGCACCATAATGAGTCTGTGGAATGTTAATATTCAGTACACCAAACAAGCATAGATGACAAGCTATCCAAAGGAAACATAAAGACAGATTCAGACAACTGCAGACAGAGAGCAGAGCTTTGACAGCATTTCATTTCTGCGTGATTCTTGTAGCTGACATCCATCTGCACTGAACTACACACAGCAGATGCACTGTTACCTTAAAGGAGCTGCTGTGTATTTTGATTGAAATCAACATGAATCTTCACTGAAATAAGAGTTAACGTATGAGAACCCAAGTGCTTCAGCAAAACAACAGACAAACACATAGTTTTCTGCACAAAGAGGAAACAAACGTACTATAACCAGAATAAAACACTCTGCAATGGACACCAGGAGGGCTAAGATGCCTCAGTGCTTTTGACTTCCACCAAGCCCCTCCAGCAACAAGGTGCTGTGGC